TTGATTGACAGTATTTGTGATTTACTGACGTGAAACTGTGCCGGTTATTATCGCGCACGTGTTTCTACGGAGAAGCTGCATGTTTCTGCGGAGAAGAGGTGCCCCATTCGGGCCACCGCATCGTGTTTCACAGAAATGCTACGCGTTTCCGCGAAGAAGCTGCGGTGTTTCCACAGAAAAGCTGCGTGTTTCCACGGAGAAGATGCGTGTTTCCACGGAGAAACTGCATATTTCTACGGAGAAAAGGCTTTCCGTCACAGAACAACTGCAATATTCCACGGAGAAGTTTGATTTCCATGGAATAACAACTGCTGAAAATACGTGATTGGCTAAAAACCTGCCGGAGCATTCTGATTGGTCAGAATATGTTGATTTTGAATTTTTGATTGACAGGAGTAAAGAATTAGAATTATTAGTGCTAATTTTAGGGGCTGTTTATATGGAAGCGAGCCAGCCCGGGTACCCGAGCTGGCTCGCTTCCCCGAGATGAATTTCACCACGCGTTTACATGAAACTTTTGGGGCGGGCTGACTTGTGAAAACAAATACAAATTTTCGCGGGAAAGTTAAATAGCACTAGATAGTGCAAAGAAACTGGCTGTTACATTGTACTATTTGAAAGACACTGGCTCCCTCATTATGACAGCAAATGCTTTCGGTATAGCTGTCTGTACAGTTTCTGGTGTTGTAGTTGAGGTTTCCAATGTGATTTCAAAAGTACTTGGGCCGAAGTATTTGCACTTACCTGTAGATGAGAATGAAATGAGGAAAAAGGTCTGTGAGTTCGAGACAAAATTTGGCATTGTACAGGCCTTTGGATGCATAGATGGAACACATGTTCCTATCCTTCGACCACTAAAGGATCCACAAGATTACTTTTGCTACAAAATGTTCTATTCATTAAATGTACAGGCTGTGTGTGATTATAGAGGCATATTTATGGATGTTGAATGCAGGTGGCCAGGAAGTGTGCATGATGCAAAAGTTTTTGCAAATTCCTCTATTAATCAGAAATTAGTTTCTGGCCAAATTCCAATGATACAACTGTCTGTTTTCCCAGGCTCAGAAAAAATACCAAACTATGTAATTGGGGACCCTGCATACCCATTGACTCCATTCTGCATGAAGGAATATGCCACATGTGCTTCAAATGAAGAAGTAATTTTTAATACTCTTCTAAGAGCAGCTAGGAATCCAATAGAATGTGCTTTTGGTCGACTGAAAGCAAGGTGGTCAGTTCTTACAAAAAAAGTTGACTTAAAGATTGAATCAATTCCAGTTGTTGTATATGCATGTTGTGTCTTGCACAATTATTGCGAAATTAACAAATCTTATGTTGATGAAGATCTTCTTAAATGCCAAATGGATTTGTATAAAAAAAATGAAGATCAAAACCGACACCTTGTTGACCCAGTGTACTCAGGTGATCGTAGTGAAGGTGGTGTGGTTCGCAAAACAATAACAAACTACATTCGGGATAATTTACCTGATCATCTGGTACTCTAAGATTGAAAACTTGATGTTTATTAATCAAAAACAATAACAATGTTACATATATAAATAAATATATATACATAATGTTCACTAAATTAAGTTCAAGTTAAGCCAGTGTTATCATTCATCACTGTCTTCTAAATAACTTTTATTTTAAAACTTTCAAAAGAACAGTGCTCATGCTGTGCTTTTTAGTTACATGAACCCAGTTTATTTAAAGCCTGTATGGTTTTCAATGAAGCAACGCAAGCATAAGCATAACACAAGAGCCGTAGGCTTTGGTGAGCTTATATATACTGTAACATAAACAGCATAAGAGGTTGTCCTCAGTTGTGCAACACTGATGCAAGCACAAAAAGAATGTAAGTCCTTGATATTTTTGCTAAGTTTGCTTATGGTTGCGCTTCATGTTTTGGCTATCCTCACTAGTGAATATGCTCAGTTTAGTGAAAACCAGGCTTCAACATAATATGGAATAACAGATGTTATTAATAGAAACCCTAACAATATCAATTTAACATTCCAAACTCAAATATATGCAACAGTCTGCTGCTCTATATTACCTAAATTGTAAGATGTAAATAGAAGCAAGCTGTTTATTCGTTGTTTGGTTCAATGTTGCTATTACTTGGACATGGTGGGTTATGAGGGTACATACCATTGTGGGTTTGAAATACTGGGGGTGGGGGTGACATTTCACCATGTTGGTAAAAGAGATTTTGATTAAATGGCCCCCGAGGCTGAGAATTGGACATTACCTGAGCCATAATAGCTTGTGACATCATTTCCATAGATCGAGAAATTCCATTTCCAACATTCATGATGGAAGTGCTCACATCCTTTAATGCAATTGCAAAAGATTCTGTCGACTGCCGTGTTGCTTCTGCCAAATTTTTGCGAAATGTAGAATCCTCTTTTGCCTCGTTTAGTAACAGCTTATCTCGCTGTGCAGCTGAGAGAGCCTTCTCTAGGTGCTTTCGCTTATTGTCAATGAGGTGTGGGATTTGGTTACTAATTTTTTTTTTTGGGCCACTTCAGCTGCTTTGATGACATCATGTATATTACCATCAGGCTGGGACCTCGGTCAGGCGGGCCAGCTCGGTTCTCATGTAAACGCAACATGAAATTTAGTAGGAAATATTAACAAAGACGGGATCCCGCCTAAAGCGAGCTAGCTCGGGTACCCGAGCTGGCTCGCCTCATATAAACAGCCCCTTAGAAGTTACTGTTGCGGTGTATTTATAAACCTTGTTATTTTCGTAAATTGATACCGATATATCGAGTGATGGCATACACTAACCAAAAAATAACGAATGTACTATTTGAGAATTAAGTGTTGAATTCTTTAATCTTTATCTGGAATCGGAAATCGCTTCGTCCTGAAGAATGAATAACGAATATCAATCCAACACTGTGTTGCTTGATAGATGTAATACCGTGATAAAAGTGCAGACTTGAAGATACAGGCTCGTAAATGACGCTCTAAGTAGTGTTTTTGATAGCGATTGGAACAAGACTATTACAAAGTTACGGCCGAAGTTATGTTCGGCGAAAGGTATGGCTCGTCTATATTTTTGTTCAGACAATTGCGTAATTTGATAATACACGAACTCGCTTGACTTTCAAAGCTCATAAGTCGCTATAATGTTAACATCGACTAAAACTATCGCTATGAATGAGGACATATGGTTACACTGAATCGAACGTGGTATTTTTGTTTTCATAGCATTGAATGAACCGAAGATATGAAACGTGAAAGCCGCATATTTGCACTGGTGCAAATACGTGAGTTTGACAAATAATTAAATTAAATACATTATGACATTATTACTGTAAAGATGGGCGGGACCATGCGTTCGGTGGGCGGAACTCAGAATGTGTAGTTTCTGGGCAGGCGGTATTTCTAGCTTCTACCGCCTGCTACGCAGGCTACCAGTTTTGCGGCAGGCGGTATTTCCTACGTACCGCCTGCCATGCAGGCTACCATCATCGCGGTAATTCCTCTGTGGTCGGGGGGGGGGAGGTCTACGCAGTCTATAAGTCAGAATCATTCGATTCCGCAAAGGCAATATGGCGGGATATGCATCAACATTTTAAAGTTTTTTTAATATCATGATATTAGAATGAGATTCAAAAAGCCTTGTCCCTACAGATTGTTTCTACTAAATTTAATGTTGGTCACAGACAGGCAAGCACGGTATGTTTACTACAATATTCACCTTTAACTTTGCTTTTACTGTAAATCTATATTATAAAAACAGTTCAACGAATAACTTTGCAGTTTGAGCTGTTGATATCACAGAGACCTTTTATACTATAAGTATAACAGTATTTTAGTAAAATTTGATAGTCATGTGATAGGCTGATACCTGCATAAAAGCTAAGCAAGTTTTGATGTTTTGATATCATTGTATAGTTGAAATAGAATAGATAAGTGATCTGTATATTAGTATATATGGGAATATTAATTTTCAACCATACTTGGCAGTTTGGGTTCTGTTATTATGTTCGATTATTTTCATTGTGATTTATTAAATATTGGGTATTACTGTATACAGTATGCCTGCTAAGGCCTGCTTACTGCAGGGCTGCAAATTACTGTCGGACAATGTCCGACTAAATTTGGCAAATGTCCGAGCAAAAGTAATTTTGATCGGACATTGGTCTGATTACAAAAAAATTTGTCACATACATTTTTTTGCTGTGACAAATTCCTATTGCAAATTTGCATTTTGCAATAAGGCATTCTAGCATTTTACTTAATGTTGCGCCGGAATGGCTATACATACTTGTCTCGTGACATATATATTTTGTGACGTATATATGTCCGACCAAATTTAGTGATGTTGGTTTTTGTCCGACCAAATTCAAGTTATATCCGACCAAAATTAAAAGTGATCGGACAAATGTCCTGTCAAGTCAAATATTTATTTGCAGCCCTGAAAATAGGGCGAGTTTAGGCGAGTTAAGCAAAATTCTGTCAACTTCTCATTGCGAGATAAGGCGAGATTGGGCGAGATTGGGCGAGTTAAGCAAAATTCGATCTTTTTCTCTTGCGAGATAGGGCGAGTTAGGGCGAGTTAAGGCGAGTTAAGGTCCCAGAGTAGGCCTTATAAGAATCGAAACTCGCGCCCTTTCACCTTCTGATTTAATTTTAAAGGGGCAGTATGATCAAAATGTTTATTCTCTTAAACCAAAGCTTAAACAAAAATGCTCGTAAAACTGTATAATAACTAATTGTTTTGAAGATTTTTGTTCCCATGCTTAGCTGTTGAGATGTTTCTTTTGTTTGTAACTATGTGACGTCATCTACTCAATGAGATATCAGTAATTGTTGTGTATCTTTGCTATTTTTGATCGATTTGTTAAAAAACACAGTATGCTTAATGATGCAAGTTAAATTAACAAACGCGCCCCATCTTTCGAAATATTTTGATAACAATAGCAAAGATACACAACAATTACTGATATCTCATTATATATGTAATAATAGAGTATCTCATTATATATGTAATTGACTATATATGTAACTAAGCATGGGAACAAAAATCTTCAAAACAATTTATTATACAGTTTTACCAGCACTTTCGTTTAAGAAAATAAAATTTTTGATCATA